GGGGGGCATCAGCCTTTGGGATGAGAGTGTGGGCCTGTGCTCTGCACTGCTGCCAGGACAGAGAGCCCACATGCTTGAGGGCTAGTGGGTACCAGGAAAGTGTCCCTGAGCTAACTGTACCTAGATGGGAATACTGCAGTAATGCCCGCAATCACAGAGCCTCCCAGGGACGACAGCCAGTGACATGGCAAAGGGTCAGGTACCCCCTTTGAGCTCTTCTATCTACAAGAAGGTAACAAAGACAGGTACACTCAGAGGAAGAAGATCCTAAATTCCTGCAGCTCTCAGCTTTAAATGAAAAATTCACAACTGGCTTTGCTAGATTTGGTGCAAACATTCTTTGAGGTAAAGGAGATGCCCAGGCAGCAGTGCCCAGGTGGCGTAGTCAGTTAAGTGCCCAACTTGGTTTTGGCTCAGGTTGTGATCTCAGCATTGTGAGATCTACCCCCGCATTGGGCTCTGTACTCAGCATGGAGTCTGCTTGGATTCTTTTTCCCTTCCCCTCTTCCTCTCTACCCCATGTTTATTCTCTCCCTCTCAAATAAATAAATAAATCTTTAAAAATAAAAAAAGGAAATGCCCAGACAGAGGGACAGACTGACAGACAGCTGCTGAGGGGTCTCCTTGCTTGCTTCTAGAGCTATACTGAGCTAAGCTAGCTCTGTTGTGGGCACCTGCTAACCAGGTGACTTTAAGAGGTCAGTGGATCCCTTTCTTGAGAAGCATGTTGTTACAGAGGTGGAGGAGGAGCCTGGCAGATTCCTTCTTCCCACTCTCAGTCCCCTTTCTTCGACCCTCTGCCTGAAGTTTTACCTTTCAGGGGTTCATATTTCTGAGCCCTCAATTATTTACACCCCTCAATTTATCAGGGGTTCCCTGACAAAGGTAAGATACTTCTGCACAGTTACGCCCCTTGCTAACCCCCTAACCAAATGAATGGGAGAAGGAGTAACCACTTCTCTGGCTCAGGAGCTGGGTTGCTATCTCTAGTAGTTTCCAGTGGCTTCTGAGATCAGCTCCTTAGATGGTGGATGTCTATGTATGTGTATGGGGGTAGGGAGGGACAGTCATGGCCAACCATGGGGTTACAGATGCCTTTCCCCTGGAACTCCAACAACTACTTGGGCTGTGAGTTCTACCTCAGAAATAATCCCAACATGGTCCCTGGCCGTCCTTGCTTACCAGTTGGTAGAAGGTGACGTGAGGTCCCTCGGCATCATAAAGGAACCACCAGGTGGCGGCAGCCACCGTGGCCAGGCCCACGTACACTGCAAGGAGGACAGGAGGAAACTGGCTATAGTGGCTAGCTGTGGTTTTCTGGCAACCATTTCCCCTTCCTAATAATCACCTGAATTTCTGTCAGGGAACCACCTTCTCCCTCTCTGAGCCCCGTGGTTTGCAAGCACCTGTCCCTAGTAACAATGGTGGGCCCTGATTGGCAATCAGCATCTGCCACACCCCTGGCCATGGTGATTAGCTAGGAGATAAGCAGGTGACCCAATGTGGGCCAAGAACGGGCCTGAGACTTTTATCATATTACTGAGGGATAGCTCTCTCTTCTGTTGAATTTGGTTATAATGGAGTAAACATGAGGGCTACAGCTGCAGCAGCCATCCTTCCACTCCAAGGGGCACGTGCCTAAGCACGGAGTTGAGGCAGATCCAAAATGTGCCAACAATACTGAGGCCTGGATCCAGCCATACCTGAGGCATGCACTAGTCTTTCCCATTGGATGAGTCCACAATTTCTCTTGGCATAAGCTAGGCTCAGTCATACTATCTGTATTTTGCAAGCCTAAATGATAGAAACTCTCAAGAAACTCCACTGAGGGCCCCACTCACCTCCAATAGCCAGATATCGAAAAAAGAGCCAGCCACTGATAAGGGCCTCACGAGGGTTTCTTGGCAGCTTCTCCATGATGTCCAGGTCTGGTGGGTTGAAGCCCAGGGCTGTGGCAGGTAGACCATCTGTCACCAGGTTCACCCAGAGCAGCTGCACAGGGATCAGGGCTTCCGGGAGGCCCAGAATTGCCGTGAGGAAGATGCTGGAACCAGAGTCATAGGCTCTAGTCCCCACCAACTGGAGGGTCCTGCTCCTACTCATACCCCAGGCTGGGAAGCTCACCTACTGTCTCCACAGGAGCCCCATCTCACTTTGCTAGTTCTGATGTGTGTGCATGGTCCTGCCACACTCAGTCACTCCTGCTCCCAATCTCAGCTCTGGAGCCTGGACAAATCTGCTCTTTAGGCCTCTCCTCTTTAGGCCATAACTCCTTTAGGGCATGTATGCATGTGGACAACACATGCCTAAGTACATACACAGGGTTTTTTTTGTTTTTTTGTTTTTTTCAGACAGGAGCAAAACTTAGCACAGGCTACACAATCACACAAACACAAGTACCTAGATGCTTATCTGGATATATAGAGATCGCAGAATTCACATATGTCCAGGCAAACATGTGCTCACCATTCCCCATAGGCATCTCTCACATATGAACCCAAGAATGTACAAATTATATACTGGCACAAATCCTCTGTGCTTATACGTATGCCCAAAGATTCACAAAAGCACACATGCACATGTGTACACACACTTTTCACTTGGGTACACACACATCATGCTCACACTCAGCTGTGTGCACACAATCATGTACACATGTAAACACATTACCGCCCTGAAGAGCTGCTAGTTCTCACATCTTGCCAACTCTGAATGTAGGAGTCATGGCTAGAGGGATGATAGGGGACTTTTTTGGCACCTCCTTGGGGGCTGGAATACGTACACCAAGGCCTCTGGAGGAATGATGAGGAGCTCCTGCCCCTGCCCTCCTTGAGGTGAGATCCTAGAAGGCCCCAGCCAGAGCAGGATATGTGTCCCTCCATCCCTATAGCCCCATCCCAGGATCAGGCATTTCCCTTGGTGACCTAGAGCTCGTCCAGAGGGCTGGGAAGAGGAAATACAGGGCCTCACCAGACAACCTCGCCTACATTGGAGGAGATGAGGTAGCGGATGAATTGCTTCATGTTGTTGTAGATGGCCCGGCCCTCCTCCACTGCAGCCACGATGGAGGCAAAGTTGTCATCTGATAGCACCATCTCGGCTGCCGACTTGGCCACAGCTGTGCCAGAGCCCATGGCAATACCAATCTCTGCTTTCTTCAGAGCTGGGGCATCATTCACCCCGTCTCCAGTCTAGGGGCCAAGTTAGGTAGGATCATGCCTAAGGAACTTCACTCTCCTTTCTTGAATCCCCTCAACTAAGCCTATTCCCAAACCCAGGAGATGACCCCAAGGAAGCAGACAGCTGAATAGAAAAATGGTGAGGTTGAATATGAACTTAGAGATTGGGCTGGGGATGAGGCTTAAGGGAAGGCAAGGGTTGCAGACCAGCACAATTTTGAAGAGGAGATCAGTTTGAATGTTCTCATCTTCTTGGTGAGGTGGACTTGGGAAAGAAGGTGGATCTCTGATGATGGTGGAGATGAAATTCAGGTTGGATGTGGTATAGAAGATGAAATTGAGGTTAAGGACAAAATTAAGGTTAAGTCAAGGATGAGGTCTAGGCTGTGGCTCATGTAAAGGACCAGGTAGGTGTGATAGCTAAGGTAAAGTTTGGAGCCAAGGTGAAGGTCAAGGTCAACACTGGATTCAGGTTCAAAACTAAAAATTAGACTAAGGTAAAGTTCAAGTCAAAATCGGATGCCAAATCAAGGTTATGGTCCACATCAGGAGTGATGTCACAGTCAAGGTTGGAGATGCAGTCAAGGTCAAGATTAGAGGCCATTTAAAGTTGAGGTCTACATAAAATATTGGGTTAGGGGTCAAGATCAATGTCAAGGATTAGGTCAGGGTGCAGGTCAAGACTGCAGCCCATAACAGGGTTGAGCTCAAAGTAAAAATCAGATTAAGATGGTCAAGTTCAAGGTCAGGAACCAAGTCAACATGAAGGTCAAAAATAAAGTCAAGAACCAGGTTACAACTGTAGTCAAGATTGATGACCAACTCAGTGTCAAGATCAAGACTGGGTCACAGGTTAACATTAAAGTCAAGATGAAGGAGTGGGGGTGAAGGTCAACAGAGGCCAGGTCAGGAGTGAGACTGGGGTCAAGAATCAAATCAGTGTTGCAAATAGGTCTGTAATCAAGAATGAGACAAAAACTGGGCCCAAACAAAAGGTCCATCCAAAGGTGAATGGATAAATTGTGGTTATATTTACATGGTGGAATGCTACTAATGATAAAAAAGCAGTCATCTACTGATAACCCAAAAAACATGATAAATTTCAGAAGAAAAAAGCCAGACACAAGAGTGCATACTATATGATCCCATTCATATGAAAATCTAGGACAGGCAATTTATGGTGAAAAAATGGCCTGTTGTGAGAGGGGAGCCCGATGGGGAAGGTACATGAAGGAACTTCTTGTGTCCGTAGTAATGTTCCTCATCCTGATAAGGGTTTGGATGACATGCAAAGGTGTGTCTGCATTTATCAAAACACATCAAATGAATGATATGCTCAAGATTGTGCATTTTATTGCATGTAAGTTTTGCCTCAAAAAGGAAAAAAAGTAGAACCACAAAAAAAATGCTACTCTCTAGAGCATGCATTCTAAATTATGTGAAGGCGAAGTGTACTGACATCTGCAACTTACTTTGAAATTTATTTAAGAAAAGATGGATTAAGTTTGGATAGATGGATAGGTATTTGCAAAGCAAATAGAATGTTACTTGTAGAATCTAGATCATAGATATTATAGGTGTTTGCTATAAAACTATTTTTTCATTTCTTTCTGTGTTTGAGATTTTTTGGTAATCAAATGTTTGAAAAAATAAGAATGAATCAGAGGCAGAGGTTGTATGGGTTGCTCTTGCTAAGCTCCATGGCCAGGGTTCCCTCCACACCTCCCCACCTCCACTAGGCTCCCATCTTGTGGCCTCACCATGGCAGTGATCTCGTTAAAGGACTGTAGGTTCTCTATGATCCGGGACTTGTGCACGGGTTCTACACGGGCAAAACAGCATGCTGTGCGACAGGCATGGCGCTGCTGCTCAGGGCTGAGGTCATCGAACTCGCGACCTGTGTAGGCCTTCCCTACCACGTCCTCTGTGTCCCCGAAGATGCCAAGCCGGCGGCAGATGGCCACAGCTGTGCCTTTGTTGTCCCCTGTGATCATGACCACACGGATGCCAGCTTGGTGGCAGCGTGCGATGCAAGCAGCCACCTCAGGCCTTGGGGGGTCCAGCATGCCCACGCAGCCCACAAAAGTCAGGTCCGTCTGTAGGGAGGGGGCAGATGCAAGTGGGATCTGGGCCCATGCTCAACCTTCTACCTGCCCAGCCTTTGCAGGGAGGGAGACACACAGCTCCCAGCCCAGGGGCTCTGCCCGGCCACCCACCTCGTACTGCACAAACTTGCTGCAGTCGTCCAGCTGCATATCCTCCTTCCGTGGGGGTGCATCCCGAGTGGCCAGCGCCAGGCAGCGCAATGTGTCTGAGCCTGAGCCCCAGTCCCGAATCTTGGCCAGGATTTGCTCCCTGGAGGTGGCATTCAGGGGTACCGTGTGGCTTCCCACTCGGACTGAGCTGCAGCGCTCAATCACACTCTCAGGAGCCCCCTGTATCATGGGGGAGGGGAGAGGCAACTCTGTCAGTCAGGACCCCTTCCTTCCCCTCTTGCCCAACTGAGGAAGTTGAGGCCCAGGAATGGGAAAAGGCCATCCAAGAGGACACAAAGTGAGATAAGGGCCAGATTCCATTCTTTGAAAGTTCAGAGTGAGAACCAAGGGGACCTCACTGTGAGGAAACCCAAAAGGAATGGGGGTTGTGGCTGACCATTGGATGGCACCCTCCCCCTACCAACTCAAGGCTGAGAAGGTCTGCTGCAGCATTTGGGGAGGTGGGGATAGAATTGGCAGCCCTCCTACAGACACTGCCACCCTGCCAATCCAGTACTGCTGGGATCCTAATTCTGTAGGGGACTCAGCAATGGGAGGCAGGCTGAGCCCTGCCTGAGGACCAGAAATAGAGCCATGCTGAAGGTGTGGCTCTGGGAAGGTATTCTTGGGGGTGACAGGTTCCTCAGCAGCCTTGGAGTCTCACCTTGGGGTCTTGCTCCTATTCTCACCTTGGGAATAGCTTCTGAACCCTCCATCAATGCCTCCTCCCTCTCCTCCAAAGGGCACCCCAAATGCTAAGTTTTCAAAGTGGCCTGAGATCCCAATACAGAAGCCTTTTCATTTCAAAAGGGGTTAAAACCTCCATTTCAATGTGAAGTTAGGGCTGTCATTCCTACTTCAGGATGAAAAGCAGTGAGAGGCCCCGCGATGGGCAGAAGTCTAGATGAGAAACTGCCCTCCCTAGGACTCAGTTTCCAGAACATGTAGCACCAAAGATGGGCACCAACTACCTCAATACCCCATTCAGAGGTGAAAGGCTTCTGAGACCTTCCAGCTTAACCTTGCCATTCAGATGGGGAGACTGAGGCCCATGGAGGAGCACAGGAGACCCCAAAGTCATGTGACAAGCAGTGCCTCTCAGTCTAGAGCTGGGACCATGGTGAGTGGCAGGCCTTGGTGCCTGGCTCTGGCTTTATCTCCACCAAGACTGGATCCTGTTCCCAGTTCCCCATGGCGGGCTGACCACCCTCGTTCCAGATTCACTGCTTTGACAATGGGCCTCACACCTCCCTCTGTCCCCCATAATTGTAGTCACTAGCTCTTCAGAGGATTGAAGATCAGATCTCCCAGGGACTCCTCATGCACAGAAGCCCCAGGCCGGTTAGGCAGGTCCCACCTTCACAAACATCTTGCTGCCCTGGGCCGCCAGGCCAGGGCTAGTAGGTATGCAGTATACGGACATGGACTTCCTGTCTCGGGAGAACTCCAAAGTAAACTCCTTCCGCATCAGCTGCTTGATGACCTATAGGGGTCAGAAGGGTCAGGATGTGAGGGGCAGAACCAGGAACCCTAACTGTTTTCTTTCCAGCTGCCTGGAAAAGAGCCTGTGGGATGGTGTCTATCCCTTCTCTCACCCTGACGTTTGAGCCCCCATCTCCCTCTTCAGCCTAAGAAATGCCACAAGGTTGTCACTTCCTGACCATGCTGTGCACTTCCCAACTCTGGGTCCTTGCCCACACTCAGTCTTTTCCTTTCTTTTCTCTCTAGCCAAGTCTTATTAGGGTCTGAGGTCCGTCCTCCTCCCAGAGACCTCCCAAGACCTTGTCCTTTTCTCTTTCTTCTCTAGATGCCCAGAAGCCCAGCTACGAGGCCTGTGGCTGGAGCCCTCACTCTGCTCACCGCATTGCAGGCGCTGGCTCGCTCCACCAGCGATAGGGCCTGTAGGTTGGTGTCAAACACATTCATTTTCTCCACCAGGCAAGTCAGAGCCGTCTCCGTGGCCTCTCCCACCTTCTCATACACGCCCTTAGCCTGGTGGGGCCCAGAATACAGGGTGTGAATAGCAGGGTCTCCTCCAGGGGACCCCCAAGCCTTACCTCCCACTCACTCCCTGACCCCTGGAGCTCCCTTTACCACTGTCTACGGCCATACCACCCTGAACGCGCCCGATCTCGTCTGATCTCGAAAGCTAAGCAGGGTCAGGCCTGGTTAGTACTTGGATGGGAGACCACAGTTACTTCTAACCTCCTTTGCACCAAGCCAGTGGGGCCCTTCCCAGTCCAGATGACATGGGGTCTGGGTAGTGTCTGACACTGAGACTTCCCTTCCCTTCTGACCACGCCGCCCCCCTGCCCACCCAGGCATCAGTAAACATGGATCCTTCCTGCCATCCACCTCACTCTCTGCAGGCTCCTTCTCAGCCTCCTTCCCCAGATGCCCCACATTCTTCTTTCTAGACTCTGCTGTCCAGGCCCTGCTCCTTCTCTCCCACCTTTTCTCCCTGAGGCCTCATATATCCCCTGCTTCCCCACTTTTCATGTGCTTGACTTCCAGTGCCCAGCCTGGCAGTGACATTTCCCTTGAACTCCAAGCCCACATATCTAATGGTTGCCTGTTGGACTTGGTTCCTTAGTGAGCCTCAAGTCACCTCCCCTTCTCCCTATATTTGCCACTCCAGTGACTGTCCCAGCCAGGACAGCAACCAGGAGGTACCCTCTCTCTCTTTCATCTAACTAGTCACCAAGTCCCATCCTAAATCTCTAACCCAAGCTTCCTTCCCTTTCCCTGAAGCCCTAGCTAACAACTCTCTGACCTGGAGGACCACACAGGGGCTCCTGAATCCAGTCTTGCCCCATCTGTTTCATCCTCCACACAGAAGCTCAGGTGATCTTTTGTTAATGCAGTTCTGACCATATCACTTCCCTGCTCAAAACTGCTTGGTGGCTGTCTACTGCCTTCAGTTTATTATGGAATGTGATTTGGTCTGGTCAAGTCCTTTCCCCAGGCAGGAGTATCTTCATGCATGTTCCATTCCACTGCTCCAGCAGCAGGTAAGGGCATTCACTGCCTGCATCACATCAGGTTATGACTTGTGGGCCTTTCCTGGGCTGTGTCTTCTACTTTAAACACCCTCCCTAGTCCTATTTCCCAAATCTCTTCCTCTAGACACCCTGGCACTATAGTCCCTTACATTAGTCTGCCACAGCCCAAGAGCCCTAGGGCACAGCTTCAAAGCCAGTGTGCAAAAGGAGGGGCAGTGGGGGTATTCAGGGGTGGCAGTGTTCCTGGGGTGTGGCACTCCAAAGGGGCAGGGACTGCCAACCCTGGGAGATTTGAGACTCTGGGAGAAGGGTCTGTCCTGGGTACCTGGGCACTAGTGAGGTCACAGAAGAGAGCTGGGTCCCACCTCATTGTAGTCCAGCGCTGAGTCATTGCACAGGGCACAGATCGTCGCCAGCTCCACCAGCCCATCGAACTGCCCACAGCGCACGAGCCGCTCCGCCTGCCTCCTGTGGGGCTGGGTCTTGGTACAAGGGCATTTGGCCCCATCCCTGGGAGGTGCATGGCCTCTCGATCCCACCCCAGGAAGCCTTGCCCACTCACAGCTCTCTGAGCTCTCTGGTGTAGCCCAGGTCACCGGGGAACCCTGCCCACCTGCACCCCCTTGCCCAGCACTCACACTTCACCCTCCGGGGCATAAGTGGTGCCTGAGATGGTGAACTCGTGCAAACGGCAGGAGCCCGCTTCAGCCTCAGCTACCACGAACATCTGGGGAGCACAGAGGCATGCTTAGGCAAGCCCTCACCTCTCTCCTCTTTGGGCAGCCAGTCTGAATAAAGCCTGACCCAAGGTGGGATCCTCTGGGCCCCTAAAGAAGCTGCTGGCCTTCCCTCCTGCCAAGGTCTGGAAGAGTCGGGTTCAGGCCAAGGCAGGGCCTCTGCTCTGGACCCCTGAGGGGTATATGGCAGATTCTTCAGTATCCTGGATAGAGCCCTGACATGGGGTAGGAAGCCTGGATCCTTAACCATTTTATTATGTGACTCCTGGCTGAGCACCTGAGCGTTAGTTTCTCTACAGGTAACAGGAGAAGAGAGTGGGATCTGAGTACAGCTGCCCCTCTTTTCCCCTTGAAAGGATGAGTTCCTGGCCTCTAAGGGTGGAAACCCACATACTGCTCTGAGACACAGACTCCTGGCCAGAGGTGTTCTCAGACAGCGAGCTCTTGCCTACAGGGCCTGCTGGGTCACCCAGCCCCAACCTGTGCACCTCAGCGTCAGGGGTTTACCCCTCCCAGGGTGGCCCATTTTCTTGCCCGGAAGCCAGCTTTACCAAGGAGATAATTCTTGTTTCCTAGAAATTGCCTTGGTGTACATTTCCAAGTCAATGGCCAGCTCAGCACACGGTAGATGCTCAACAAATGTCCCTTTTCTCGTGCTCCCCTCCCTACTTCTGAGGGGAATAGGGAGTAGCCCTCCAGCCAGCATACCTCCTGAGAAGTCAAGTTTCTTTGGCCCCCCTCCCAGGAAGTAAGGCCTCTACAACTTCCCTGTAGTATGTTTTTCAAACCTTTATTTCAATGAAGGGACACTCTGTTCCAGTGAAGTCCTCCTAGAGATTTTACAGGTCAGGGGACGCAGAATATAAAACTTGCTTGTGTCCCTTCCCCTGTGGCAGGGCTTCCTTCCCCTTCCCCAAGGTTTTGGGCTTCAAGGTTTTGGATACAAAGTCTGAGTTTCCCAGTGGGCAGATCATGGGAGCAGAGGTGGGAGAAGAATGACTGGGGACTCTAAGAGGGGTGGGAAACCCACAGCATTCACCACTACCCACTCACCCCTCTGCCCCATAGGCCTACTGGAGTTTCAGCCAGAATGCCTGGAACATACAGGCAACAAGCCCAGGATCTGGGATTGAAGGCCAGGAAATGAATAATTCCTTTCCCAGCCCTGCCCAGGTCACTGGAGCTGGCATGTCTGGTGACTGGTGATGGGCATTGACTGTGGAGTGATGGAGGAGTGGGACAGAACTTGGTTGGGTCCAGGCCCAGCTTGGCTCAGATGCCAAGGCTGTAGTTGACCCTCTGCAGTATCCTTTATGGTTGTCTGTCCAAGCTTGCATACCCAAACTTCAGATGAAGAAACTGAGGTTCACAGACAGACAATGACCTGCCAGGGCCATACAGTGACATCTGGGTCCTAGTGATACACATCTGGCCGGACCTTGCTGCTCTGCCCCATGAAAAACTGGATCTGCTCCCCACCTTGCGGGCAGCCCACAGGTTCTCTCCTCCATCCCCTGCCAAAAAGGAGTCGGGGGCAGCCCCCAGAAGGAGTTCAGCCTGCTGAGCATCACACAGCAACACCAGCGGGACCCCAAGCTGGCTGCAGCCACTCACCCGGCACACAGACATCTGGTTGGTGGTGAGGGTGCCTGTCTTGTCAGAGCAGATGACGGAGGTGCAGCCCAGGGTCTCCACAGACGGCAGGCTCCGCACAATGGCATTCTTGCGTGCCATACGCCGTGTGCCCAGAGCCAGGCATGTAGTGATAACAGCCGGGAGGCCCTCAGGGATGGCGGCCACCGCCAGGGCCACGGCAATCTTGAAGTAGTAGACGGCGCCACGGAGCCAGGAGCCACCATGGGCCGGGTCGGCAAAGTGGCCAATGTTGATGACCCACACAGCCACACAGATCACAGAAATGGCATGGGACAGTTGCCGCCCAAACTCATCCAGCTTGTGCTGCAGTGGCGTCCGCTCTGGCTCCACTGCCACCATCTGGCTCCTGATCTTCCCCAGCTCTGTGTGCAGGCCTGTGGCCACTGCCACGCCCAGGGCCTTCCCCGATGCAATGTTGGTGCCCTGGCCAACGGAGAGACAAGGAGGGCTGCTTAGCATCCCAGCAGGGGCCTGGGACCCCTTGACCTCTTCAGGCTACCATAGCATTCCTATCCCCCTACTTGGCTTGTTTTTTCTCCATGTCACTTAATGCTCCCAGGTTATGAAGCTATCTAGTGCTAAGCCGTGGCTGTCATCCCCACGACAGTGTTAGCTCCACGAAGGCAAGGACTTGGTTCAGCACTGTATCCCCGGTGCCTATCATGAGGCCTGGCACACGAAGCACTGGACCAATACAGACTATGTGACCGACTAGCACGGCACAATACCAACCTATAAAAATGTGATTTGTAAAAAGCCAACGTGGCCACATGGGAGTGCCAGGCTGACTGTGATCCTAGGTAAATGATCTGTAAATATTTGCTGAAGAATCCAGAAAATCTGAGCTTAAGTCCATCCGCTCCCAAGGCCCGCGTAAAATCCCTAAGTCCCGGTAAAAAGGCTACTTAGTCTTGAGCCTGTGTCCTCTTCTATAAAATGGTTCAAGAAAGGAGCTGCTCAGAGGAAGCTAATGACGTGGTGCCCTTCAGAAAGGTGCCCTGTGCTGAGGCTGGAGAAAAGGTAGGGACCTCTCGTAACCTCAGCTTCTCTTCTTTTGTCCCGAGCAACGAAACTTCCACTCCCCCATGCCTCCGCCCACTTGCAGGTCCCTCAGCTAAGGAAATAATCTGCAGTTGGCCAGAGCGTCTTCCTTAGAGAGCTGCCTAGGGACAGCTGCTGATGCTTGATCTTGCCTTGTGGAGCCCCTCCCCACTTCAAAGCAGCTCGTCTAAGGCTTCCATACATCTAGGCAGGGGGGTCTCCTTAAGAACTCTGGGTGAATATTGCTTTCTCCACTTCTGTCCGCTTCTGGGGAGGTTTTCTAGCCTTATAACTTGGTGCCCTGGGCCACAGCCAAATGGCCTGACCCATCCTTGTGGCTTCCGTGTTCAGCTTCAGGCTGTTTCTGGGCAGCTTGTAAGCATCAGTGCTCTCTCTGAGGCCCCAGAGGCCTATCATGCCCACCAGCGCTGGGCTGGTTTTCCCATCTGAGAAATGGACTCCACCACTTTGGCAACCCTTATCACTAGAGGAATCTCCATTGGGTGATTATAGGCTAGCTCTGTCCCTCTCCAGCTTGAAGCAGGATAAGCCTAGCGGGTAAGAGGAAAAGCTCTGGAGTCAGAATGTCTGAGTTCACATCCCAGCTCTACCATTCACTGGCTGTGTGACCTGGAAAATGCAAATAACAAGAGTATTTATCTTAAAAGCACCGTGAGGACTAAATATACGTAAAGGGCTTAGAACCGTCGCAGGCACACAGCCTTGAGTAAACACAAGCTGTAACCAGTACTATAAATTTGTACATATTGTCAATAATTGATGAGGTTCATTCTTGTAGGGTTTAACTGATTGAATGTTAAAATTTTTATTATCGGTGTCCAGACAAAGGCCCTAGCCATCTCAGGAACTTACAGAGAATAGCATGTTCTTCTTGTCCTGGTTCACAGCTCTGGGATCTAGGATGGCATCTGTGTGCTTGGTGACAGACACGGATTCACCTGGTCATGGAATCAGAAATCGGAAACCCTACATGAAGACACCCCCATGCCTGGACCTGCTCAGCCCTGCTCCGTGCTGGCCTCTGGGCCTCACCTGTCAGGATGGACTGGTCCACTCTCAGGGTGGTGGACTTGATCTTGATGAGGCGGAGGTCAGCGGGTACTTTGTCTCCCACTGCGGAGAGAGAGTGGCTGAGTGTGGCTTTGGGCACCACCCCTTGGCAGAGCCAGGAGGACTGCCAGGAACCAAGGGTGAGAGGTAGGGGCCTAGGCTGTGATCCCAGAGATAGATGCTGCTCCTTCGCTCACAGTGTCCTTATCTGTCCAACAAGGTTTGGGCCGAAGAGCTTTGGAAGGATCCCACAGCTCCCTGCTCTGTGTATATAGCCAGAAAGTTGGGAGTACAGAGAGGGAAGGGCTCACCAGCATCACATAATGGAAAGACACCCCCAGTGTACCTGCCACTTCTACGATGTCTCCAGGGACGATGTCCCGGGCGCGGACCCTCTGCACACCTTTGCGGTCTGAGCGGATCACCTTGCCCATCTCAGGCTCATACTCCTTCAAGGCCTCAATGGCACTCTCAGCATTGCGTTCCTATAGAACAGGAGGCAGGTAGGTAGTCTGCTCTCACTGGCCCTTGCAGGCTGACCCCTTGGAATGACACCCCTGGGGCCCGGGATGGAGCTGCAGGACTCTTAACACCAAGTGGCGGTCACATGGAACAGCCAGGACACCTGAAGGCCCAGGCCCACCTCTGTGCCTCCCACCTGCCATACGCCCACGATAGCATTGGCCACAAGGATCAGCATGATGACCAGGGGCTCCACGAAGGCTGTTGTGGTTTCTTCGCCCTCTTCGAAGCAGGCCAGGACCTATGGAGTCAGAGCTGGTGAGCTGGGACTCTTCTGTGGCCCAGGGGCTGCTCCCTATTTCCTTTATACCCTGCGTCTGCTGCCTCCTGCCTTGGAAGAGATAGCCCTGGGGAGGCCTGGGCTGGGAGAAGGCTGCACTGAGGCCTTGGCTTATCTGTAGGTAGTGACTGCCACCATTCACACCCCACCCAGCCAACTTTCAGGATGTGGGGCAGTTGTACAGCTGGAGGTCTCTCTGCCTAGTTGTGGTTTTCCAAGTTTGATGCCAGACTGGCAACCGCAGTATCCCCTGGGAACTTGCTAAAAATGCAATTCTCGGGGTCTGTCCCAGTCTTCCTGTGTCAGAAACTTTGGGGTGAGGCCCAGCAGTCTGTGTGTTAGCAAATGCTAACACATGCTCCTGCTACAGGCTCATTTTGAAGTCCATTGGCCAGAGAGGCATAACTCCAGCCAGAGCCCAGGCCTGGAGGTAGAATACCTGGTTAAAGTCCTGTTCCCACCTCTTGGCCCAAGTGGGTACTTCTCACTCCGTTCCACAGGTCTCAGAGTGTCCATCAAACTGTGGAGGGGTGCTGACACCATTTTAGCTAAGCTGTTATAAGGCACTTGCACCAACAGGCTTTTATCTCTGTAAGAGTCATCAGTTTCCACAAGAACAGTTGCCAGGAAGGCCAGACACAGCTGGCTGGGCCCCTGCTTCCCTGCACTCCATGTCACCAACATGAGGTCTCCTCCCCAAGCCCTGCTGGGCACAGGGCCAAGAGCAGGAACTGCATCCACTCTCAGAGTGGCCATTTCCCTGCATTACCTTCGATTTCTGCTCAGCCATCAGTGACAAGTACTGTTCCACCTCCCCATGGCCAAGCAAGGTCCAGGAGGGGTTCAGGCAGTAAGAATGGGGGAAGGGCAAAAGGAGAGCAGCCACAAACAAGCTGTAAGAGGTTAAGACCCGAATTCTTCCGTGGGGCACTGGGAGCCATGGAAGGGGCTCTCCACGAGGGATAATTTGGCAATATCTGGAGACTTTAGACTGTCACAACTGGGCAGTACCACTGGCATTGGTGGGTAGAGGTCCGGAATGCTTCTGAATGCTTCTAAATATTCCCGAGCTCATAGGACAACCTCCAGACAAAGAATTATCTTGTCCAAAATGTCAACAGTGCTGTGGTTGAGAAAGCTTGCCCTAAGATGGGGAGGGGTAGAGATCATACATGTGCTTCTGAAAGCTCACTCTGACAGCCAGAGTGGAAGGGGACAGATGGGAGCGGTCCAGTGTGTAGGGGGCAGGCTTTGAGGGTTCAGGCAAGGGAAGCTGAAGTCTGAGCAAGGAAGGGGATGGGTAGAGGCCCAGGGATGTCCATGGCTGAGAGAACAGACCTCTGGTTCAGAGTCTGGGCCTCTGAGCACTGCCCCAACCTGGCTTTCCCTTCCAGGCTTTCTGATGCTGTGCGATGGGGCCTTACTTACGAAGGAGACCAGGGCAGCCAACAGCAGGATGCGCACCAGGAGATCCTCAAACTGTTCCAGGACCAGCTCCCACAGGGACTTCCCTGAGAATCGGAGCACCATGTAAACCTTGGGTTCCTTACCAACTGACCTACCCTCATTCAGAGCTGGGACCACCTAGGAGACTACCTGGCCCACTCCCTCCCTACCATTCAAAGAGCAAGAGCCTGAGGCCTTAGAGGCATAGGTGGGTGATACTGGTCGGGGAGGGTGTGCGTGTCAGCAAATCCTCACTCTGTTGGGGAGAGGGAGGGACACAACCCGAGAGTAAATGGCTCAAGGCCTTGCAGCCCCCCTGGCCCAAGACTCACCTTCCTCAGTTGGGAGCTCTGCAGGATCCAGGCAGCCACAGGAGCCATGAGGAGACAAGAGATAACTGAATTATGCAGTAGGACCATGGAGGAGTCTCAGTAGTCTCTCCCAGCTGTGCCTACCCGGACCATCATAATGGTCTAGACATGCTCCCACAGCTCTCTGAGGTCACAGAATGGATGGTCTGAGCCCAGAGGCTTCCATTCTTCCACTCACTTCATCCCACCCTGATTAAGGAAGATCTGGTATGGCCTGACAAGACCAGAGCCAGGAGGGCCCTTCTAGTCCCTCCCCCATGTACAGAGGAGTAATGAAGCAAACTGGAGGTGAGACGGGACCCCTGAGATCACAGTAAGTTGACAGCTCCCCTGTAGTGCTCTTTCTCAAATGGCTGCACAATCCTATTCAAGGCCCCATGTGGCCATAGCAAGGGAGTCCCTCCCTCAAATTGAGAACATCAGTCCAGGCTACCTCTGACATACCTGCTCCTCCAGGAGCACCGAGGTAAGGTCTACAGCATGGCCAGGCCAGCCTGCTGAGCCCCGCCCTACGTGGGGGTTCCCTCTGACACGACCTCAGCAGCCAGCATCCCAGGCAGGGTCTAACCTGCCATGGTTCAGTTCCTGGAGGTTGAGTCTCAACTTGTCCCCTCCCAGCCCCTCTACTTGGGGCAAGCCCCATCCCATATGTCCAGTCTGCAACCCACAGAACATTCTGAGGAATGATGTTCCCAAACACCACCAGGACCTGTTGTCACTTTACAAGCTCTATTTGTATCTCTTACATTTCCTGAAGCACTTTTTATTCCAGACAAAGTGGGCTACCTGGGTACCTGAAGTCTTTGAATCTTCCTTCCCAACAGCCCAAAGGATGACAGGGCAGGTGTTCACCCTGTTTCACAGCTGCAAGAACTGAGATCCAGGGTGGAAACATGACTTGAACAAGATCATACAGCAAACAGGCAGGTCTATGGGAAGAGGCAGGAGCTGGGCCTCAAAGGGTGGATTCCAATGGGCCTCTCTCTCCGTAGGCTGAGCTTAGGTCCTGCTGAGGCCTGTCTGGGGCGCCTCTCAGACTGAGCCTACCTGAGCCCTGCTGCTGAGCACAGTTTCCAGGCCAGCAGCATTGGCATCACTTGGGAGCTTGTCAGCAATGCAGACTCTGAGCCTCTACCCTAGGCTGGCTCTCCCTTCTTCTTCCTCCTTCTTGACACAGGTCCTTGTATCTGCCCACCTGTTTTTCACCCAAGTATCAGCAAAGAGTTTTCCTGTGGGAGCCCTCTCCCGAGACCATCTGTGTGGAAGATCTGGGGCACCTGGCAGCTGAACCATGGAGAGTATCAAGCAGCCCACTGGACTGCAGGAACCCAGGAGGGAAACATATAACCTAAAAATACATTTTCTAGCTTTTTCTCCCTAGTCCTATTTTAGGCAACAGCTGACATTTTCCGTGGAAAATGTAATCTCCAGTGTCCTGCATTGAGATTAAAATCAAACAGACTTTTTCCTTCTGATCTATTTAGCTGAAGTGAACAGGAAAGGCACAGGGGAGGGCCAGGCCTGGTTTTCTGGGCCAATTCTCCAATGGAGCAGGGTCCTTTAGAGGTCATCTCTGCCATGCACCAGCCTTGGCACAGAACTGTTCTAACCTCATGACACACATCAGTCTGCTTCTGCCACGCTCTACCCAGGAGAGACTTCTAAAGCCCCTACCTCTGTGAATGCCTTCAAGGTTCCTGACCAGAGGAAGAGTTTATCCATAAGATTCACCTGAATCCCTCCTGCGGTCTCCCTCGCCCCTACCCTCTGTCAGGCATGTAGCCCCTAGACCACTGTATAAGGGCATTTTTTCTGGGTAGGGTCAAGGCCTGGGGTTGGGAAGCAATGTCACAGGGCACACAGAGCAGCTCGAGTTCCCCACAAGCTGCCCTCTGTCTATCTGGGTAATCTCTCATGTTCTCCCCTTCTGCATTCTGACCCAAAATCTGACTCAGGATCCACTCTTTGGTGGTCATTTGTTCCCCAGATACTTCTGATTCTTTCCCCCTTGTGGGCACATAGTAGGACTGCAGACGTTGTGCAAGTTACAAAAAGAAGGATGCAAGTTAGTTCTGGGCAGGGGCACTAACGTGGTGGCAGGAGACTCTGGAGTTAGAAAGGCAGTATCCTGGAGAACTTTCCGTGCTGATGGAAGTGCCCTTTAGCTGCACTGTCTCATATGGTAGCTACTAACTGCACACACCTATCGAGCACTGGAATGTGGTTAATGTGAGTGAGGAGCCAAATTTTAAATTCTACTTAATTTTCATTCATTTAAATTTAAATAACCACACAAGGCT